AGTTTTCCAGAGCTACACGTCCACTGTCAGCAACAAACAGTATTCCAGGCTGGAAAATCCTTCTTACCTTCCCTACAGGACCTACGGAAGGTCAGGGTGGAGTCCATCTCGTTTTTAATCTTGATCAGAGCATCAAGCACCATGGGCCCACACCTAAAGCAGAAAACAGGGTCAGTTCACCTGGAGAATCCCCCCAGACTCAGGGCTGAACTTCTGGCACCCCAACTAAGCAGCACCTAAAAGGGTTTTGGATCAGCTGCAATTAATACACATTTTTTGGCAATCCCAGGCAATAAAACAGATTTCTTGATGAGGGTGGGAGTCAAACCCTTTATCCTGCTGATGCCCTGAAGGTTCAGACAGCACAACTCAACCCCAAGTGCCTTGTACTGGTTCTCTTTGCTTTTGGGTCAGGCTTTAACAAGTCAGTCTGTCCCCATTAGTCACAAGAGACACATAAAACCAAACAGTCGTGGACAACTTCTGTAATTTTCTACCCAGCAGACAGGGCAACACCCAGAAATTATCCACCAGTGCAAGTCACACAGAAATCTGAGTCCTCTGTCACGGGGTTCTTAAGTAGGGGCTGGGGAATTTGTGTGTGGAACTCCTGGAAAGGGCTCGGGGTGAATTCCTGGGGCAGGAGCACAGCACCAGCTGGAGCTCAGGCAAATGCAGGATGTGTCCAGGAGAAGGTTTCTGCACCACAGGGAATCTGAACCCCTTCCCAGAATCCCAGGGAAGCAGGAGCTGTCTTGGGGATCCCATACCAAAGTGTGCAGGTGGTTCCAAAAGGTTAATATGGCCTGAAAATTAGAGGCAACTCAGTGGGAACAAACTTCCACCTTCTCTCCCAGCTCTGGGACTGGGAGTTACACACGGAGTGTCCTTTTGGAACACTGAATCCCAGGATGGTTTGGCTTGGGAGGGACCTTAAAGACTGTCCAGTGCCACCCCCTGCCATGGGCAGGGACACCTTCCACTGTCCCAGGGTGCTCCAAGCCCTGTCCAACCTGGCCTTGGACACTTCCAGGGATCCAGGGGCAGCCACAGCTTCTCTGGGCAACCTGTGCCAGGGCCTCCCCACCCTCTCAGCCAGGAATTCCTTCCCAATATCTCACCTAAATCTCTCCCCTTTAGTTTCAAACCACATCCCCTTGTGGTACCACCTGCCCACGTAAAAAAATCGCTCTCCCTCTTTTTTAGAAGCCTCAAAATTTTTCACATAAATAAAGTTTACTGAAGTCTTCAAGTCTTCAGCACAACTCAGAGACACAGATAAAACCTCACAAAAGTCCCAAAACAAAGTGACCATTCCCTGCTGGGACACTGGTACTCAGGGCACAGTTTATTTGTCACACACAGGTGAGGAAGGGGCAAACAACCCCATAAAACCACAGTAAAATTTGTTATATAACTGATTATATTATCAGGGATTTTTTATTAATTATATTTAAAAAGATGTATTATTTTAAAATATACATTATATGATCTATTATATAATTGTATAGAAATATATGATATAATTATACATAAGTATGTAATGTATTCTATAATTTTATAGAAATATAAAATACATTCTATAACTTAAAAGATATCTATATTATAAAATTTTATAAAACTATATCTTCATATATTAAAATATATTAAACCCAAAACATTTTAATTATATTACCAATAAATTATCGGCAATAACAAAATTATTATTCATTAATAATTTAAATTTATTCTCTTATCAGGACATACCATCAGTGTCCCCTGTGCTGAAGACAAGCTGCTCTGTAACAACTGAGCAGCACCTTCAGGGCCACTCCAAGCTTTTATCATTCCCTGGAGCTCAGTGAGCTGCTGACACCTTTAGCACCTGGAAAAGCTCTTCCCGCAGGGAATACTCACTTGTTGAGGTCCACCTCGTAGGTCTGCATGCGGGGTTTGTCCCCGGCTTTGTCGGGGTCCCATCTGTAGATGGCGAATTTCTTGAGCCGCGGTGCTGCCGCCGCTGCCGTCTGGGCTCCCCGGCACTCCTGGATCCACAGGGAAAACTGCCCTCAGCTCCCTCCACGGGCCTTGGGGCCAGGGAACAGGGTGACAGGAGGCAGCACTGCTTTGTATTTGGGGATTTGGAGAGGTTTGGGAACATCCTGACAAGGATTTGTGGGAGCGGTGTAACCTGGTGATGCAACCCCCCCCATCCTGGGGCTCCCTCCTCCATGGGGCACTGGAGATAATGCCAAAATTAAGGGACTCCCCCAGGTGTTCCTGAGGCACCATGGCCTTCAAACCCTGAAGGCTCTCCCTGCCCCCAAATTACCTCCAGAAGTTCCTAAATACTCCCTACCCAGCTCCGGGCCAACAAACCACCTCCTCCCGCTATTCCCCCAGGGAGCTTCTTCCTCCTCCAGGCCACCTTCCCATCTCACCTCTCCCTAACTCACCCTACATCCCTATTCCCCCTGTTCCCACATCTCTTCCCAACCCCTTTCTGGTGTGTTTCCCCCTCTCACAATTTCCTGTCAACCTTTATCTCCCCCTAAACCATTCCCAGACCCCTTCCTGCTTCTCTTCACCCCCAGACCCTCCTCAGCATCCCCCTCACCGATCCTCTTCCCCCTCAGCTCACCCCCCTTTTCCCACCCACTCTTCCCACTTTTTACCCCATTCTGGACTGGCCCCTGCCCAGAGCCCCCTCTGCCACCCTTCACCTCCCCTCCCAAACCCCCTCCAGCCCCCTCTGCCACTGATCCCCTTGTCCCGCAGCCCACCCCCTTCTCCCACCTTTTACCGCATCCCAGACCCCGTCCAGCCCTCTCAGCCCCCTCTCCCATCCCTCCCCTCCTGCCCATTCCCAAATCCCACACACTCCCTCCAACTCCCACACATCCCCCCAACCGCCTCTGCCGCTGATCCTCTTCACACTCGCCTTCTCCCACCGACTCCTCCCTCTTTTACCGAATGCCGGACCCCATCCTGCCCCACAGCCCCTGCCCAGAGCCCCTTCTCCCATCCCTTTCCTCCTGTCCATCCCCAGCTCCCACACATTGCCCCCAACTCCCTCTGCCACTGATCCTCTTCCCACTGCCCTTCTCCCACCCACTCTTCCCATCTCACACCGCATCCCGGACTCCGTCCTGCCCCACAGCCCCCTCCCTCCATCCCCCTCTCCCACCCCTCACCTCCTTCCCCTCATGCCCAATCCCAAATCCCACACACCCCCTCCAGCCCCCCATCTCCCTCCACACTCCCTCCAGCCTCCCCTCTGCCCCCTGTCCCTCCTCCCCGCGCCCCTCCGCGCCCCTCCCGAGCCCCCCAGCCCCCTCACCGCCCGCAGCCCGGCCCGCAGGAGCCGCGCGGGGACGCGGTGCCTCAAGGAGACTCCGAGCGCGGCCGCCGCCATCTTGGCGCTGCGCAGTTCCGAACCCGCCGGAAGTGACCCCGGCGCCGCCATGTTGTGCGCTGAGGGGCAGGCGGGCGCCCTCCGCCATCTTGGGGGTGGCGGCGGCCTCAGGGCAGGCGCCATGTTGAGTGTGGCGCGTATTGCGTTACAAAGCGGGGTGGCGGGGCCAGGACGCCTAAATCCCCCCTTGTTTTTGGTGTGAATTCCACAAAAATGACCCCTTGTTTTTTCATCAGTAATTCCCAGCCTCACTGCGTTTGCACGGAGGTGCCCAAACCCTCCCCTCACACGAGGGGACCTGCCCCAACACCGAGCAGGGCAAAATGGCGAGTGCGGGGGGTTAAAGAGTGACTGAACCATTGGGATTGGAAAAGCCCTCACAGATCATCGAGTCCAACCTGTGACCGATCTCCCCTTGTCACCCAGACCATGGCAATAAGTGCCACGTCCAGTCTTCCCTTAAACACCTCCAGGGACGGTGATTCCACCACCTCCCTGCACAGCCCCTTGCAAAAAATTACCCCCCCCTACTCTGAGGGCTTCCCTCCCTTTCTCTTACGATTATTACCCATTATTATTGAATTTCACGACTTTTTCCTCACAGCAAGTTTATTTGTGAAGTGAGTTGTGACCAACACATGCTGAAAAAGCCGCTGGGGGCAAAGGTGGAGGCAGGAAGAGAACAAGGAGGAGGAGGGTGAAGAGAGAGGAGGAGGTGAAGGTCTCAGTATTGTTACCAAACAAGGCTTTTTTTTTAAAAAGGAGTTTGTGCAGCAGTGGGGGAAATGCTGAGAGATTTAATCCATGGAATAGATGAGGGATGACAGGCAAGCAATGGGTGATGTCCACGTGTTAGAAAAACAAAAGTTTGGGGCTTGATGTACTTTGGTGTTCTCAGACCTGGGGGAGAAAGGTTAACAAAACCTAGGAGAGAAATTTACTGTTGAGACTTGGACACCAGGAATGTAGGATTTATAAAGCACAAAGACACAGAAAACAGATATGAAGAGGAAACTATCAAAGACCATTACTGAGACTCTCCCTATATGGGAAAAAGATAATAAAAAGACTGAAAATCAGCATGAGAAGCAAAAAATCAACAATAAATAGAAGATAGAATACTAATTAATTAAGAGAACTATGTAACTTGTAAACCAATGGATACCAATTCCTTCGTTTGCTAGAATTTATAAATAGTTAAAAGTTTTGATAACTGATGTACATGTTTTGTGGAGTGATCTCCATGTACCTCAGTGTTGACTAATGTTGACTTTCCAACCCAACAAACTGGTTAGAGAGTTTATTTCACAATTTTTGGTGACATGGTTGTTCCTTGAACACCTCCAGGGATGGTCATTCTACCACCTTCCAAAAGCTTCTACCCTTCCAAAAAAATTGCCCCCTCACCCCTCTGAGGGCTTCCCTCCCTTTCTTGCGCAATCACTGCCCATTCTTATGTATTTTCATGACTCTTTCCTCACAGCAAATATATTTATTAAGTGAATCACAAGCAACACACACTGAAAAAGCCACTGGGGAGGAGGGAGGAGAGAGAAGGAGGAGGAAGAGGAGGAGGAGGAAGAGGAAGAAGAGGAGAAGAAGGTCTTGCTATGGCATGAAGTGCCACCATTTGAAGGCGAAGGGCCGTCGCTGGACGTTGGTGCCACACCGGACCTCACCCAGGCTGCCATGGTAGGAGGCCACCTCCTCGAGGAAGCGGCAGCTCAGACCCAGTGGCTCCAGGAGGGAGCGGATCTGCTGCTCCAGGCAACATTCCCCTGCTGTCACGGGGCCGAAGGGTTTGGGGATGCCCAACTCCTTGGCCAGGACAATCATGGTGACCTGTGGGGTGACACCGGGGGAGATCAGCGGTGTTGGGGTTGATGATGCCCAAGGGAAGGTGTTGGTCACCCTCCTCCATCAGCCTCAGCCCATCAACACCAGTTTCTGCAGCTACCCTCCCACAGAATTCCAAATCCAACATAATTTTCCCTTTTTTATCATTAAACCCCACCTCACTATTGCAATTTCACTGCTTTGAGAGGGTTTTTGCCTAAAACCCCACTGCAAGCAACACAAAGCCACAAAGTTATGTTAGGCCTGCTGAATGGAGATATTTCCTTTTTCTAGACAGCTGATTTGTTTTGGGACAACTCTGGGGACTCATCCTGGCTGACTAAGCTGGTCTTTGGAGAGCACCTGAGGAGTGGGGACCCCCTCACCGTGTTGGGGAAATACGGCACAGCTTTGCCCTGCTTGTCGAGCTTGAAGAGGGCGGGCAGGTCGATGATGTCCTCCTCCGTCAATCCCAGCTCCCTCTTGAGGATATCCCTGTTCCAGTCGATGCAGCGCTGGAGGGGATGGAGAAGGGCAGGTTGAGGGGGGACACACGTGGGCACAGTCCCCAAAACCATCTCATGCAGGAGAAGAGCCAAAACACACCACCTCCCTTTGCACCACACTAGGGCAGTTTTTGCAAGAAATATAAATTATTACCAAAAATGTCAGTTCTTACCTGGGCATACTGGTTCTGCTGCGCCAGGATGTCATTGGAAAGGACCTTGTTAATGGTGACTCGTTTTGTGTCTGTCCCCGAGTACCCTAAAAATGCAATGTCCCATCAAAATGAAGCCTGGCTTAGGATGGGGTACACAGATGGATAAAGTCCCCCATATCCCAATTTCCTGAGCTTGGAGTAAGGTTGCTGGAGTCACAATTCTTAGCGTATTGGGAAAGTGAGGGAAGAAAAGCTCTGCCCATTGGAAAGAGCACTGGAAAGGTCTTGTCATCCATCTTCCTGCCCACAGGAATCGTCATCTGCTGAATTTCTCCAGAGCATCCACCTCCAGGATTTGGATCCACCCCCTGGTTTGGGGCCACCTGGGTCTTCTCAGTGACCTTGAGGGACCCGTGGAGATATGGAGACATACTTCCAACCCCATCGTGGATCAAAATCCCAAAGAAAGGATTCCCAAAGCGACAAAAGAGTGCTAATTTGGGTAACATGAGAGCTGCCAGTTGTCCCACTCCGTGCCAGAGCTCCGCTGGCATTTGGAGATGCTCCATGCCACCAACCAAGCATCCCCTCCACGCGGAGGGCTTTATCCCTGCCATCCCACTCGCTTCCCAAAATAGGCCGTGAGGAGGCTGGGGGTGGTGGGTGGGCATCCCATCACAGTTTACCAGCTGTGAAGGACAACCGGGTGGGACGATGTCCCTGTGTGGCCCCGAGTCCCCCTGTCCCTCCGGCTGCCCTCGGCCCGGTTGCTGCAGCTCCGCTGACACCAAACCCTGCCCAGAGCCACTCGTGTCCCCTTGCCTTTGAACATGGTGGCTTCTCCCTGGCCTTCCTTCTGCTTCTCCCGGAAAAGCTTGTAGCACGCGGCAGGACTGGCCATCAGCATCCGGAATCGCTGTGGGAAGGTGGGAAGGAGAGGAGTCACCCGAAGGGAATTTTCCAGAGCCTCAGGAGACCCCAGGGACTTGCTTTTGCAAAGAACCTGTGCTAAACCCCTTTGAATTAGGTGTCTTTGCTGCTATTTAGTGCCTTTTTTAATGCTTGGAGGGTTTGTGGGGAACGTGTGGTCATAAAGATTCCTTTTTTGAGTCATCCAGGTCAAGGCTTGGTTTTCCTGAGGGAAAAGTCTTGTGTCAGGGTTTCCCTGAGGGAAAAATCTGTGTCAGATGCAGCAAAAAACGTGATAGAGGAAAGAGAAATGTTTTGGAAACATCTGGGAGAAGCTGAGGCACTGGGAATCTCCAGGCTCATGGATTTACATTGGAATCTTGAGGTTTAAAGTTCTTGGACTACCTGTGCAGGCATCGTTTCCCTTCTGTTTCTGTTAATTATTTGCTCAGTGAGTCCCCTATCATGCTCAGATCCCTCATTTTGGGGACAGGAGTGAAACCCAAACTGGTTAGGAGTGCCAAAGAAATGAGTTTTGGGGTTTTTCGTAGAGGTGTCCTAATGGGATTAGTATCTTGGAAGAGGAACACCAAAGGGATGTGGGATTTTGGGGTACCTTTTTGTCCGAGGTGGGCACGAACGTGAGGAACTCATTGACGTTGCCCACAGCCAACCAGTCAGAGTAGAGCTCCACAGGAGCCTGGACTCGCTGAGCATGGAGGAAGTCCCTCACCATCCTGGTCATCCTCCTCCCTGCAGATCTGGGAGTGAAATCCCCAAGAGAGGGAATGCGAGGGTGAGGATTTATCCATCAACACGTAGTTGGATGTAAATAGCCGCCAAGGTGGAGGAGACTGAGCGCGCCCACCCCTTTCATAGCCACTCAGGGAAGGTCTAATTAACCCAATTAACATGACTTTGATGATATTTTGGGGCTCTTGTGGTTCCTTTGCTCCCAAATCCGTGTGTTCCCCATGCCTTACGTGGGGAAGCTGCTGCCGATGAGGATCCTGCCCAGGGGATACTCCTTCCCCCCCACGGACACGGGCGGACTGACCTCCAGGTTGCCGAAGGAGTCGAGGCTGGTGATGGCTTCAAAGAGGGGCTCCTTGTGCACATAGCCGAAATCGGAGCCCTGGGAAAAGAGGGATCACTGCCCTGAGTCCCTCCTGCCTCTGGCGTTTGATCCTTCAGCCAGGCTCAGACCTGCTCCAGAGGGTAAACACAGCAAGAGGGAGACCCGTCCACGGGTGAGGAGAGGGGAAAGGAAAGGTGAGAGGAGAAAGGTCTCTGGGTCACGGAGGCTCGGGAATAAACGGCAAAATCCGGGAGCAGAGCTGAGGCGTTGAGATCCCACATCTCCTCTGGTATACCAGAGCCAACAGTTAAGTGTCCACATTAGGTTAATTAGTGCCAGGGCAGCCCTGGAGCAGAGCTTCTGGATGGCTCTTCCTGAGTGGGATGAACTGCAGCCCCTGAGGGTGAGTCTAAGAGCCACCCAAAGGGCTGTATGGCACTTAAATCCTGCTTAAGCCCTGATTTCCAGGTCTTAATATATCTGGGACTTAGGGTGTTGTGCATGCAGGGTAATTAACTCTTGGCTGTGATGTGTCAAAGCCCAAAGGGGAGATTGTGGAGTTAAAAACAGGGCAAAAATGGCAACGATGGGACACAATTCCTGTCGTGGACCTGTCCTTGATCTCCAGTTTGAGTCAACACGGGCTTGGAGCTCCCGGCAGCCCCTGGGACCAGATCAGGTATCTGTTAGGTTGGAGTTAAATCCCAATCACTTATCAGGGTTGGGTTTCCATGGGGATAAACCAAATATACAGGTCGGGAAAAATGAGCAGGGAGACCCGAGAGTGCTTGACTTCCACCTAGAAATTCCTTTTTTCAATTGAGGGTGTTTGGAGAAGCTGGGATAGAGAGAGCACAGCTTTCCTCGAGGCTCCCCGTGCGGTTTTGGGGAGTCTCTGGGGGATGGCTGGGATCAGCTCCTCTCTCCGGGTGCTGAGGGGGTACTGAGCATGAAACACCTGCTCTCAGCTTGTTTCAGTTTAATAAACCACGGAGCCCCTCCGGTTTCAACTGTCAAGGCGCTGGTTCATCCCAGGTTTGCGGGTCGCATCCAAGTCCTATCAGTTCCCCGTTGATTTTGAGGGGCTAATTCCCTGCCGGCTCCGTTTCCCTGGCGCAGGGTCCCAGGGCTTAGGGCTTGGCCGGGGCGCGAGGAGGACCCCGTGCGTGCCGAGTTTGGCTCAATATTCTGAGCTGGAAAATGAGATTGGAACGATAGCGGCGGGGATTAGGGAAGGCTTCAAAGCAGAAATTGGAGAATAATGTGTTAGCGGCTCCCAAGGCTGAAATTGCTTCCCTAAGTAGGGAGCAAAGCAATTCCTAAAGAGGGCAGATCCGAGCGGGCGCCTGCTTATTCGCTATTGCCACCCGCCGCATGACTCCGAGACTCTATGTACTCATGTCAGGCATGAGAAAAGATGGATTTCAATGCTCCTGAAAGCTCTTAACCTTCCCCAAAGTGACAAAAAAAGTGACTCGTCCTCTTCTCCCGTTACTGGCGGAGAGAGGATCCGGGCTGAGGCTGCTGCCAGCACCCGCTGGGAGTGTGGGACAGCAATTCCGTGGCTATTTGGGGGTGTCCTGCCCTTTCTGCATGGTGGGATCTCAAGGGGATCATCTTTTTTTCCATGCTCGTCTTTGCTGGGCTCTGCCAAATCGCCCTCTGCGGGGTCACCGCCGTCCCGGCACGCCCTGCCCATGGCTGGCCCTTTGCCTTGGCAAAGAAGCCCCACGGGGATGCTGTTGGCAGCTTGTTCTCTTCCAAGGAAGTAAGTTGACCCCTCTCATGCTTCCCTTTCCTCTCCTGCTCGGAAGCTGCTGGATATTCACAGGCATAGGGGAGGAAAGGAAAAACCAGCCCACCACTGGGGTGCTGAGGGTGAAGAATTCCAGTCCCAGAGCTTGGCAGGAATCTTTCATTCCCGGAGGCGTGAGCTCCTCCTTTCCTCTCTCACCCAACACCTTCTGATCCCTGCTTTGAGGGGGAGTGAAGGTGTTGGTGTGCTCCCAATTGGAACTGGATGGGATGGTATCTCCATGCAGAGCTGTTAAACTCATTTTCCAGGCAATTCCTTGTATGGCCTCCAAGGAACCAAGTGCCAGGAGGGTTTTAGGAGTGGGGAATTACATGAGGAATAAAACCTGCAAGCTGCTCCTCAGGCAATGCAAGCAAATCCTTCTCTTACCAGCAGCTCCTTGACGGGGAGTTGCTCCATCCCTCTATCCCGAGGGGAATCCAGCACCACTGGGAAGCACTTTTGGGGAGCGTGGGTGTAGCCAAACTCAATCTCATCCTGAAGAAGGGAGGAAATCCCGCATGGGGCACAGGAAGGAAAAGCTTTTCCCTGCCTCTGGAGCCCCCCTACCTGCATCCAGCGATCCCCACGGTTGGTGTATCCGAAGCAAACCTTCAGCTTGCAGCCGGCCTTGGTCACCAGGGTCTGGATCTCCTTGGTGAACAGGTAGTTGTCCTTCATGCTGGGAAAGGGGATGGCAGGAGGGAAGGAGATGAAGGGTGGATATTGCCTCTGCCCAGCCTGTCTCCAGGACTGGTTTGGCTGGGAATACCCTCCCCGGCCTCACCTGCAGAGGAAGACGTTCACCGGCACCAAGGTGTTGGGGGTCATGATCCATGGGGCCACCCGGAACACCACTGTGTCCGTGAAGGCTGGAGTGTGGGGGATACCCTGAGGGAGCAGGTGGGAATCGGGGTCTGTCCACACACTATTCCCCCCAAATGCCCTTCCACTGAGGTCCTTTCTGGGGTTAATTAATGGGGATCACTCTCCATTCCCTCCCCATCCCCTTCTCTGGGATAGCTGCAACAAGGGACCCCATCTGCACCCCTTCCCTGGAGCTCCCAGACCTCTGCCAGCATCTCCAGGAGGCTGACATGGATGGAGACCAGCCCGGAGAAGGAATCGTTGGGAAAGCAGAGCCCCTGGACGAAGAAGTCGAGCTCGGCAGCCCCCCCAGGGTAGGACACGGCGTGGAACAGCTTCCTGCAGCCCAGCACCTGCACATAGCGCTGCCCAAAGAAGGGATCTGCAAGGAAACGGGGAAAATGGGACAATTCCAAGCCTTCATTGGTGTTCCAAGCCTATTTCCTTGTGCAAGGAGGACTCACAGTCCCTCTGTGCTGGAGTTTTTCCACCTCCATGGAGATACAACTTTGTCTGTTAGAACCACCTCAAAACAGGATGGAAGGATTTCGCAATTTTGTCATGGACAATGAGTATGAGGAAAAACATCTTGGCCTTTCCTTGGATGGAGCAGCCACTGGGAAGGCATTTTCATGGAGTTTCTGCTCATCCATGGGATGAAAATGCCACCAGGCTGACAGGGAGGGAGGGCAGAGAAGAAAGGGGCAGAGGAGGAAGAGGAAGAAGAAGAAGGGGCAGATAAGACAGAGGAGGAAGGGGCAGAAGAGGAGGAGGCAGAGGAGGAGGCAGGAAGGACTTACTCTGCACATGGAACACCCCAACCCTGTCGGCGTCACGGACAGAAACAGAGAGAACGATTTCGTACCCCCGGGGCAGGCGCTGGGGCCCCTCCATCCTCAGCACCATCTGGGCCATGTCCTCCAAATCTGGGGGGCAAACAACAAAATTAGGAGATGTCTTATATGCTCCCTCCTGGAGTTTGCACCTCCTTCCCAAGAAAGCTGCTCTTCCCTCACCACCACCCTTTGCAACCTGGAAAAACAAGCCCTGCTCCTGCTGGCAAAGCCCGTGCCTCGTGCTGGGAAACAAATGCCCTTTTTAGCTTTTATTTTCCCTCCTCACCCCTGGCACGGCCTGTCCTTGACCTCAGAAACCTGATGGGCACTGGCTCCGTGTGGTTTTAGTTTTCCAGGAACAGGTGGGTGTATTCCTGGCTGCCTTATCCTGAGCTCCTTTCACCTGTGTGAGGCAGCCCTGGTGATTTTTCAGGCTCAGCTTCATGGCTCTGCTTGGCCACAAATGCTTTGTGTGTTATGAAATGCAAAAAAATTCCCACGTGGGAAGCATGTCCAACAGCTGGCGGAGAGCAGCTGGTTCCTGAGCAAAATTCTGTCCCAAAAAATGTTCGAGAGAGGGAATCATGGAGGATTTTTGGGAAGCTCTGTTACCTTCTTTGTTGAACACCTGCTCGTTGTCGCAGTCGGACGCCGGAGCGGAGGGAATCTCCTTGTCACAGCCGACCAGCAGGATGGCGCCGTGTCCCTCGGGACCCCAGCTCCAGCTGGCCTAGAACAGCCCACTGAGGCTCAGCAAGCTCAGCCTCAGGCAAGCCCGTGGATTTTCCATGTGGAGGGAGAGGGGTTACCTTGTTGGGGCTGTTCCTCTCCACCACGCCGTCCTGGTCCGCATCGACGTCCAGGGAGATCCCTGGATGCACAGGATGGGTTTCACCCACCCATCAACCCAAGGCACAGCAAGGTTGGGTGGGAGAAAAATCCCCCCAGACCCGGCAAACGTGGGTCTACCCGTCCCCCCACCCACCCAAGGGATCAACGGGATGAGGATGGGTTGTTGCACCCAGGAGCCTCCGTACTCACCGATGCCAGTGAGGAAGACCCCGGCTTGGGTGATGGGCTTCCCTTCCTCTCCATAAAAGCTGACAGTGACCTGCAAACCCCCAGATCCCTGATTGGGAAAGGATGTTCTCCATCCGTGGAGGTCCCACACCCGATTGTCCCATCCCTCACCTTGTTGTCGTTGATCTCGGTGCTGGGCTGGCTCATGCTGAACCTCAGGACTGTCCCCTCCTGCAGTGGCCACCGCGTCCCACTGCCGGGCACCGGCTCGGCCTCGTCGCGGCCCCGGGACACCACATCCACACTGACCCCCTCCGTGTGCTTCACCCCAAAGGAAACCGCTCCGGCTGGGGCCGCTCTGCCAGAAACATTCTACGTTTGGAGAGGTTTGCACCCAAAACACTCAGTTCTCACTGCAATTAATTCCATGGCCAAGACCGGGCACGCCGGCGTCACCACACTCGCCACCGGCTCCTGCTGCCCTTTCCTGCCTCCCTGGGAGTTTGAGTTGTCCTTTGCTTTTAGGGCAGAAGATGCTGTTTTAGCACAAGGAGTATTTGAGCCAGTGCAGATTAGGATCTATAATAATCTCAACCAAGCCGCTGGAATTAAACTTGGGTTTAATGCCCTTCAGTGGAGAAATCTCTGTTTATTTTCCAGCTGGTGTTTGACAGCTCATCACGGCACTGTGGCCACTCCACTGAGACACTTTTCTGTGGGAAGCTCTAAGGGGGATGATTTTATCCAACTAAATCAGAGGTGATTTTATCCAACCCCAAAACTGTCAGTGCTGCCCCACTCCCAGTCCCATATGCCTTTTCTCTTCCCCAGCCACTCCGAGCAACCCCTTCCCCTCTTCTGGCTCCTTTTCCCAAATTTCTGCTTCCCAGCAGAAGATGCTGGTTTAGCACATTGGTATTTGTAGCCATTGGTGCAGATTAGGATCTCTAATAATCCCAGTCTAATTGGTGCTGCTGGAATTGAACTTGGGCTTGCACTTCAATGGAGAAATCCCTGTTTACTTTCCAGCCTGGGCAAACCCGGTGTTTAACAGCTCATCACAACACTGAGAGACTTTTCCATGGGAAACTCTAATTTGAGGCTGATTTTATCCAGCTAATTTGGGGTTGATTTTATCCAACCCCAAAGCTGTTGGTGCTGCACATCTCCCAGTCCAGGGTGCCCTCGCTCCTCCCCAGCCACCTCGTGCAACCCCTTCCCCTCTCCTGGCTCCTTTTCCCGAATTTCCCAGTCTTTCTAGGTTATTATTTTTGAGCTGTTTGCCCCGACACCCGAGAGCTGGTGCCGGATCCCCGTTACGGCTTCATTGCTCAGATGGTTTCTGGATGCCGATGGTCCCACCAAACCTGCCCCGTCGGGGAGGGGGGAGGGAGGAAACCTGAGCACTCCTTTGCTCCTGCCTGGGTGTCTCTGAAATTGTTAAATTACTTTTAATTATACATGGAAAAACTGGTTCAGTTTCCTTGTTTCTTGGTTTTGGGAATCCCACCAGGAATTTGACCTGGAGAGGTGCCAGGGGAGTCGTAACTCTGCTGCTTGGCTTGAATATCAAGAGTGAGATTTGCAAAAGCAAGGACCAGAATTAATCCCCAAATGAGCTTTTAAACTTTTTTTCTTTTCCCCCTTGGGGGGGAATAATTATCCTGAAATTCAATACTAGGATTGTTTTAGGGAAGGTAGTGTGGGGATTTCCCACTTTCCCAAGACACGGTTTTTTTCGCTAGATCTTGTTTTCCTTCCCTCTCCCAGCTGCATCCCTTCCTTTGCATTCCATCCCTGTGGCTCCTGCTCATCCCTCCGCTCTCCAGCAGCATTCCAAGATGACACCAGATCAAATCCACCATGGACTCGGGGTAAACGCTGCATTGTGGAAATGGGGGTGCTCGAAGCTTTCCCGGGATTTGCGCAGCCTTGCAAAGCCCAGGGTGGATTTTGCCCACAAAAAGGCGTCGGGGCCGCGAGGTTCGGGAAAGCAGGCGGGAAAACGAGGAGGGGGATTTGCAGGAGGGGTGAAGGTGAGGAGGAAGGAGGGGGTGTGGGAGGGAAGGCTGGGGTGTCCCACTCACCCGTGGACATCGGCGTGGATGCGGGAGCCCAGCACGCACAGGGCCTCGATGCGGTCCCCGGGCTGCAGCCGCAGCGTGCGACCCCCTGGCTTCTCCCGGCCCCCCGGCATCTCCCGGCACTGTCCTGGCAGCACCGGCCCCCGGCACCAGCCCCTGCTCCTCCTCAGCCCCCTGCACCCAGCCCCTGCTCCTCCTTCTCCTCGGAGCACAGCCCGGCTCTGCTGGGCTGGGGATGACACTCTGCAGCCCAAAGGGAGGGGGAGGCTGGATTGGACCCTCTAAAGCCTCTGGAAGATGATCTCCGAGGGGAGGGAAGGGATGGAGAGGGAGGGCAGCTGGCCTGGAGCCTGCTCAGCTCCCAACCCTATGCAAGGAGCTCCCCCAGCTGTCCCCAAATCCCTCCACCCTCTCCATGACCCCAAACAGGAATCACTGAAGTGGGGGCGATTTTCCAGCAGTTTGGATTTTGGCATATCCGCCCTTTTTTTGCTCTCTAGGGAAAATCTCTGGCTGCTCTTGGGAGGCAGAAACACGGTTTCCCAGCCCTCAGGTGAGAGCAAAACTCTCCTTTTTTTCCCCCTGCTTATTTTCAAAGGGAAACTGGGAACCAGTTGCTGCTGAAGGGAAATCAGGGTGGTTTTGCCACCCCATGGAGCATGGCAGGAGCAATTGCTGCCCACGCAGCATTTGAATTATTTATTACCATCCAACTAAATATTCATTTCAGAACCCAAACTTCTGCCCCAGATTTTGGAAGCCACAAGCAATTAGTGACAAGCAGAAATGTTCAGGGTGATGTTCCTTATTTATATCCCTCTCGGGCTTCTCTTTCCAGTCCTTGCTGGCCGCAGTGCAGGGAATCAGCTCCAATCCAGTTTTCCAGCTGAAAGAAATCCTGGCTTGGGTTTGTTTTTTGTTTGTTTTTTTTTTACCACGACCTGAGCAAATGTGAGTGAGGACTTTGCTGAGCACACAAAAAAGATGCAGTTTTGCTGCTTTTCTGCATATGCAAAAATGAGATTTGGGGCAACAGGGAGACTTTCTGAAACAGTATAAATGTTTTCCCTGAGCAATATGAGAAAACAGAACCCACTTTGCTCCCGGGCTATGCAAAAGCATTGGGAATTTGGATGAAATGACCCCCAGCTTA